TGTGTGCGTGTGTTGTTGTTGAATGCATGTTGCATTTGTATCTAAAGAAAGGGGTAAAAATGCACAGGACTAAATTTTTTAGTACGCGAGTAATATACAGATTCTAAAACATTTAAGTTAAAAGGATGTACAACAAACGTTAGAATGAATATTACGCGAATAGACGGAAAAAAACGGTAAGAACAGAGGAAAAATGAACCCTCGGGTTCCACCTCATTTAAAATCCTAATTGGCTTGGCCGCGGAATTAGTAATCGTTAGCGAGGTTAACGCAGGGGAGGATTATAAATTACCAACTAGCTCACGAATTATCGTCGGCACGCGAAATATCTCTACGATTTTTCGTCTGTTGGAATAATCATGAATTTCACACACACACACACACACACACACACACACATTCACTCATTCATGTTTCTTACATTATCATAAATTAATATAAAATTATAGTTGTCATAAATTAATTCTCTTATCTTTTATGAAGCTAATTAGCCCTTTGTGACACTTGAAGGATTACTAAAATGCATTTATAATGCATCTAATTAATAATGTTTTTATTTAAATAAAATAACTAAGTAAAATTGCAACAACAACGGAGAAAATAATATGAATTTTCGAAGAAGAGAGAGGGAGAGAGAGTTTTTTTCAATAAATCTACAGTGTTTTCCCGCCAATACATTTTTCGAGTGCATCGATCGGTCACATATGCTTCTGCAGTATAAATTGATACGACGTAAAAATAGCATATCAAATACGTTTTATGTATTTTTAATGTTCACCGTGAAAGCTCCAAGTTAAAATGTATTCACGTACTTTTTTCTTTGCTAACTGGAGTATGAATCAATATTATATAAGAGACATTCCAATTCTATGCGGTTCAATCAAGCTCGGTTCATATTTTTGTAATACTACATCAAATATTCAGATAGTATTTTGGTACTGTTTCTGCAACATTTTAAAAGCGGAAAGTTAAAATTATCTTATTTATCTATACTTCAGTCACGCTAAATAAATTATCCATTTAATTCTATTCGGAAGGAAAGCCGATCAAGAAAATCTCTTTCGGTCAAGATCTCCGATTATCGTCCTATTATATAATATTTCCTCGCAGATAACAGTTAAGTGCTTTCACGGACATTCCCCCAGGATATTAATCGGTGACGGTAAATGCGTAACATTATTGCCCCGCGGAGATTCGAAAGCGGTGTTAAGCGAAGCCGTGTCACCGCCGCCTGGCGCAAACGTCGCAACGCGCCCCCGTTGTTAATGTCGATAACCGATACTAACGAGTTGTCTGTAGCCGGCCCCCTGGCTCGCGCAACGCATTATAAATGGTTCCTCGTGACAGTCGACATTGAATAATGACAGTTGTTGTTTGGACGCAGGAAATCGAGCGGTGCTGCGGCGGCTGCTGCATCCGCGTTGCCGTAGCGCAACGCCAATGTTACTTTAATTTGACGGAGAAACGCAAGCACGTAGCACGACTCCGTTGCGGGCACGGCTCCGTGTTCTCTCTTTCGGAGGAAAGGGTGTCGTAAATATCGTCGGGACACGAGTTTCGAGCATTAAACTGAAAAGTAATAACTCGACCGAGACATGCAAATTTCGAACAATTTCCACGTATTTTACCGCGTCTTTGTGTCTGGAAAAAATTACTTTTCACAAAGACGCAACTTTCGAATTGACAATAAAAACCGTTTTACTGCAGTAAAAGCAAGATTCATGTTATACAGATTCAAATTTCCTTGTAGAAGAATAACGTCTTAATACGTCTCAATTGAACAAGGGAATTTTTATTCATTGAAATGAATTTATTTCTCTTATATTTATTTAAACGATAAACTGCATATTGCAATTTTGATTTTTGTTTTTCCAAAAAGTAGCTTATGATGCAAGTTACGGATAACATCGAATTTGTGTTTAAAAGGACACGGCTTTACTAAAACGCTATTGTTTGATCTGTAAATGGCTTTTATTGATTCGCGTTTTTCTCTGGCGTTTACTTTGTCACTCACAAACAGGTCCATAAAGCGAAAATGGAAATCGTCACATACCAGAGCATTGTAACGCGTTGAGTGACCAGATAAAAAAAGTGGATCAGGTCATAATAGTATCGATGTAACGAAGTCACGCGTCTAAAAACTGGGAATTTGAAAGCTTCTATAAGCTGTACGTTTATCGTATAACATCCATTACATTTAACATAAATGATTCCATAAAGATTAAATTACCGGATGTCTTTATAAAAATTTATACATTTAACTTTAAAATAAAGTATAAAATTATAACTTTGATATTTTCGTTAAATTTTGTAGAAACACATCAAATTTATCAAATATAATATTCTTATAAAAAATATTGTTTAATGTAAAAAAATGATATTAAATTATTATATTTCATGTAATTCTTCTTCATTAAATCTTATCAGACAGATATAAATTCTTTTAATAAAAGTAAGATTCCTGTAAAATTCAGAAAACGGTACGGAAACTCGAACGTTCTTCCAGAAACTCTTTCGATTAGGGAAGTTGTAATTCTTTACATTCTCGTACAAAATGACAACTTCCCTTTCGAAGAAGTCATCAAAGATTGCCGTATCGGTTCACATACGCACATTTCTCCGCTATATGGATTTCGAATGAGGAAACGAACTATTTTCCTATTTGAGTCAGGTTGCAAAAATCTTGTTTCCGGCCCGTTTCCACAAATCCCAGAGGATAGTTTCTCGCGGGGTGAGAACTCGAGCGAAAAGGGTCATGTATCGGAAAACCGAGCTTTTCTTTTCTTCATTCTTGAAATCTGCTACTTTTTCCACAATTATTTTCATTACGATATAAAAAGCAGTTTTAATATACTGTGCTAAGCTATAGTTGCGATTACATTACATCGTACAACTGTGCTATTATTTCTGACATTAACAACTTTGTTAATTACGATTTATCCGTAACAAATCCGTAATTAAATCGCACAATAATGAATGTTATCAATTGTTGTAATTGTAATATTGAAATAAATATAATTCTTTGCAAAGTCATAATAATATGAAATAAATTATTAAAGAGACAGTTAAACTTTTCTAGCCAAGGATCGAAGAACGTTGCAGAACGACGTTTAATTCAATATCGCAGAGAAATCAAGCATCAACAAATAACCATGGTAATAAATAATCAATCCGCGCGATTTGATCAAAGCTGATAAATTTAGCCGATTTGTATTGCTATTTTGATAGAAAGTGACATAGAGCTCTTCGTTAACAATTACAATGTATATTAACACGCACGTATGCATGCTCGTTAACAAATTTCATCTCTAATTGCGAGCCGTTTCGTTTGACATCCGTGCGCAACATCATTCCATAGCGCTGCATTCCAGAGTTGCAAATTGAAAAGCATTAATGTGGCGGTGAGCTTTTACGTGCAGAGTGTTTCGCAAACGTGCTTAATACGAAAATTTGCGACCGCGAAAATGGCACGCGGACTTTTTCGAGAATGAACGAACTGCGAGAAACGAATAAATAGTCTCTGTGAAAATCAAACGATAAAAAAAATACATATACATATATATACAACGCTGAATTTTTAATACCCAAATAAAAATATTTATAATAAAATTTTAATACCCAGGACGTGAATTTTTAATTCTCTGATTTACATGAGAAAATGATGTTGTCCTGACCGATTTACCGCTTGAATAATGTATTCAGTACCTTACCCAGTTTCCAATAGGTATACAAACATACTCATTAACTATTTGCGATTATGTCCCCAAGTGCTTCGACGACGGACCATT